TAAATATAATTTTTGACTTCTATAAATTACTATTTTATTTATATTTAATAAAAATTTTTTATATTTATTTATATTATATTAAATTTATATATATTAAATTTTATTTATATTTAATAAAAACAATTCATTTAAAAATACATTAAAAATTTGCATTTGCAATATGATTGCGCGCGCAATATATAAAAAAAAGTTCTAGAATTTGATTATCAGCATCAACTTTTTCAGTGTGCCGCTCTTCTTGCGGGCGCATGTAGGTATTAGAAGTCAATAGTAGTAAAAATTTATCTTAATTTTAATATTTTTTATATATAATCGGTTGGCAAAATGTGGAAGTTTGTAACTCGTGGTATTCGTGAAACTTTAGAACGTCGTGTATGTCGTACAAATGTTTATTACCAAACATCTCAAGATCCAAATTCAAAAAATGAGGTTAAAACAAGTTTGACATATAATCATAAATTTCTACCACCAACTTTTTCCATTTTTAATAAAGAATTTTGTGGCTCAACAAAAACTAGTGGTACAAAGGACAAAAATCATGATTCCAAGTGGAATACAAAATATACTTGGTCAGAAGCCATAGGATGGGTAAATTGCGTCGTTTTGTTTATCTTTCACATTTATGATTTTTTCATTTAACATTTTTAAAAAATTTGATTTATATCTTTAATAATAAAAGTAATATAAAAGTTTTTAAAATTTTATGTATATTCTACATCGTAATATATTTTATTATTTTTAAATTTTTTTCATTTATTCATTGTGTTTATTTTTTTTTTTTTCAATTAATTGATTATAATTGATTATAATTCAGTTTGTATTATATAAAATTATAGATATAATTATAATATATATAAATAAAATTATATAAATTTTTTAAACGTAATTTTTTTAATCGTAAAACTTTCTAACATATTATTTATAATAATAGCAATAATTAATTTTATTTTTTTAATAAATTTTTAATAAATAATAATTTTAATAAATAATATAATAATTTTTTTTAATAGACAAGTGTATTAGCTATTGGATGGGTAGTATGTCAAACTTTATGTCTTCATAGAAGATTATTTGAAAAAGAAAAAACTGATTCTTTAAAAAATAAACTATTACAAGTGCCAGAAACATATAATTCTTACTTCTTTGATCAAGTATTAAATTTAAAACCACATGTTTTACCTCTTATTAATTGTATTGGCAATAATAAAATATATGCTCAAGAAAATAATGAAGAAGAATGGAAAGCTAACAAGCCATTTGGACCAATCACTAATGAAGAGGTAAGAATGTTATTTTGCAGACATTATAATATATAAAAAAAATTATAATAGAAAGCAGATAACATTCTATCTTAAATATATTTAATATTATAATAATATATATATTCTCATCATTGTATCATTTAAATTTATTATAATTGATTTAATGTTAAATATATTTTATATATTCTATGTTATAGTTTTAATATTTTTACGTCATTCAAGATCCACTTTAAATGTTTGTAAATAATTTAATAAATAATTTTATAATTTTAAGTATTTAATTGTAAATTATTATTTATAATAACATATGTAAAATTATAAAGAAAAACATAAACAATATAAATTTGAAAAAAGTTTTATTATATTTTCTTTCCAAGAAAAATGTTTTTACTAAAATTGAATACTAATGATAACTGAAATTTAATAATAATAATTAATATAAACTATTATAAAGTATATAACTATTATTATAAAATATAAAATTATTATTATAAAAATTATACAATATCATATAAATACATATAAATATAATAAAAATATTAATTTTGATTAACTTTGTAATATATATATAAATAAATTATTATTTTAGTTGTGAATTAAAAGTGATAGATGATTATAATTTAATTGTTAAAATATTTAAAATTGAAGAAGAATCTTTTTAAATATTTTATTTTATAAATTTTAAAATAAAAGTTATTAGTATTAATATTTATTTCTTTACATATTCTCAGGTTCTAAAAGAAGCTACTGAAGAATTTGCTAATGCCCATAATTTTACTGTGGCTGAATTTGAACTTCATTATGGTTTAAAAGCTTTAGAAGAGAGACGTTACAAGGATGCTATAAAACATTTTACTGCTGGTGCAAATTTATCATCTGCTGCTAGTATGTTCAATTTAGGACTTTGTTATGAATTAGGGCTTGGAACTTTGGTTGATTATGCACAGGTATGATATTATTAATGATATGCATAATTTAATATAAATTATAAAAATCTATATTTTATTAAATATTATATTTTCTCTTTAGGCTGCAAAGTATTATAATGATGCAGCAGAACGAGACCATGCAGATGCTACATATAATTTAGGAGTTTTTTATGCTCAAGGCAGAGGTGGTTTTACAATAGATATTGATAGAGCTCGTAGCTATTTTGTTAAAGCAGCAAAGTTAGGACAAAGCCAAGCGCAATATGCGTTAGATTTAGAAAAACGTTATTACCAAACTAAGAAAAAAGAAACTGATACAATTTTTCCAGATGAACATAAAAATATGTTGCAAAGTATGCGAAATAATAAAAATATGAATTATATTCTTAAAAAACTAATTAATTATAATAATACTTTAAATATCCAGTCACAAGAAAATTTTTTAGAAAATTCTGATCATAAACAATCTATAATAGAATATATAAATCCTGCAAAGTTAATTTCAAATATGTTTGATTTAGACAAACCAAAAATATTTAATGTTTCTATAGAATCAAATAATTGTAATGTATCCTATTAGGCTATAGCAGAATTATTGAATGTAAAAATATAATATTATTTGTATATAGATTATATGAAATTTTTCATAATGTTTATATCAATTATATCATTATGAATTATCAAAAATTAAAAATTAAAATAAAAATTAAAATTACTTAATTATATAACAGGATCTATACAATAAGCAGTATTTTTACAAATTTATTATTTTAATATTTATTTAATATAATATTTTCTCAAGAGTTGTTTTAAGATGTTCATAAAATAAATTTTATCATCTTTGTATTATATAAAATACATATAAAAATATCATTTTTTTTCATATTAAATAAATTCATAATACATTTTTAAAAAAATAATATTAAAAAATAATTTAATTTGATAAAATATTTAATTTATTATATAGAATTTTAATTTTCTTTCTTTAAAGAACGATTTGAATTTACATAATTTTAAGGAATAAAACTGTGATGAACATATAAATACATTTAAAATATATTATCAATTAAGTTTATTTTATGTAATATATATAAATAAATATATATAAAATTTTTGATTAATTTTCTGAATGTTCAATAAAAGAATAAAATTTTACTAAGTAATCATATATTATTTTTATTTAAAATTTCAGAATTTTTACCAATGTGCATTATGTTTTAACACTGTTTTTTTAATAAACTCACTATGACTCGCATATAATTTTAGATTTTTATCAATGTCTACCCATTTTACATTGCGTGCATCATCACCAGCTTTTAGTGTTATGTTTTTAAAAAGACTATTATCATCATCATGAAAATTTACAGCTACAGTTTCTATCCAAGCATTATCTGTATTTCTAGGATCATCTACATATCCTTTAAAAATTTCTTCTCCTTTTTCAAATAATTTTCTGATACATTTTTCTAATTCTTCTTTTTCTGCTTGACTTTTTTCTAAGTAACTCAAAGCTTCTTCCATGAATTCTCTTTTTAAAGTTGTTGAAACTGTCTCACCTGGGTCAATCATCCCACCAGGAATAGCCCATTTTCCAGAATCTTGTCTTTGTATGGCAACTAACTGCAAAATTGGTTTTTTTGTATCTTTGTTTATTTCTGTACTTCCTGAAACATTTGATTTCCAACGTGTTACAATTGGATCTACTGCATGATTTGGTCCCCATCGTCCTAAAAGACCACGTCCAAAAATACCAGTACGACCAATAGGATTTAAAGGATAACCATTTTTATTTATATCATAATCATTTATATAACTTTTACGATTCACTTTTCCTG